GGAAAAAGTTTCAGGACTAGTTTTATACCATCTGTATTCCTGTTCCTCGAGATGGGTTTTCAAGATGAGAGCACTGTTTGCTAGCTTCCTGTTATGAATATGTACTTGGCATGATTTTGAATAGTTAAGGAAGCATAGATTAAAAAAAAAAACAAACCCAAAACACAAACCCCCAAACACTGTTAGCAATATGTAGGCCTTGCATCACCAGCCTTAAACCAGAGAACAGCTGAGCTTTCTGTCTCTGTGCAATCCTACCCTTCCAGTCCCAGCCAGCTGATGCTGCTTCTAGCAAGTGAACCGAGTATCAATTACCTGGTTAGAACAAACTTCCACAGCATGGAACAAGAAGAGCGCGTTGTACTGTTGAGAACAGCCAGCCACGTGAACGGCCTTGCAAGAACATGAAATAATATGTTGTCATTGAGTTCTACACCATCACAGCAATTGTTAATGGCCTTTTTCCATAGAGCATGTGCTTTATACTCCGCTATGCCTTAGCACTACAGCTGCCTGGGGGTGTGGAGCAAAACCCTACTAAAAAGAAAAAAATCCTCTTACAAGGGACTAAAAAAGAAAATAGACATTGTTTCTACCTGCTGCATTTCTGTTCATCTTTTCCTTCGGGTTCCTTTCTAGAAGTAGAGTCCCAGTCTACCACTTCACAGTTCAGTGTGCTCTTTCTCACGAATCTGACCTAACAGCTCAAAAGACTCTCGGCTCTGTGTAATCCTCCCTTCTTTCTACTCTCAAAGTGCAATAATGATTACCAATATTTCAGTATTCCATACTCGCTCAAGCTTGGAGGTTTACTTTCCCACTGAAATCTAATCAGATTAATTCACGGACATTTAATGAAAGATCTTGTAATGAAATACAGTTACCATTATCCAAACAAAAGCAGCATGAGTGGGGGACATTCCACCATCTGTGCAGAAGACGAGGAAGCCTTTCCTCCACGTGCCACCCACAGCACAATGAGCACTGACTGACATATACCTGATGGTGTAGCATTATGAAGCTGTTTATTTAAATAAAGTCATAAGAATTTTCCAACGTATGGAATTGTGTGTGTATTTTTATCAAGTATTTTTTCCAGAATAAAAAACCAAAACCAGCTCTAGGCAAAATCTTTTATAAAGTATATTCCTTCTTGTGGCAGAAAGATAGAAGGAGTCTTTCACTATTACTCTTAGTAAAATAGATGTTTTTAATGCATAGATTTTAATTAAACATTTAATGCTGGTAAGGCAGTCTTTACCACACAAAATATTTACCACAGCTTTTATCGTGCTTATGTGAGTGCCAAGTCCTAGTGGTGTATTCTGGAATCATTTTTTTCTGCTTGCGAGAATTACCTTTCCCCCCCGGCTGGTGTTTATTGAAGGGCTCCCCAGAGGTTCTCCAATATCTTCCCTTCAACATGAAACATGAGTGGAGACGGAGCTGGCAAGTGATGGATTTGCATTAACCCCAGGTTGTACTAAACCGAAACCCGACTTACTGCAGAAAAGACAATGCTGGGAAAGACTGGCAACAACGCAAAAGTTTTTGTTAATCCACCCCATTTTTCACTTTTGGGTCTGAAAGCAGCTGACAAGATGGCCAGGTTCAATCCCTGGTTTACACACAGGCAGTTAGAGGCCTGTTAGAGGGCAGCAACGCTGCTGCTGTGCCGCATTCAAAAGGACAGCCCTCCCCGTGCAGAGCTCACTGCATAGGCGATTTCTTGTCCAGCCTCCGCTTGGAGCAAACAATTGCCTGGCACAGAAATATGACCAGATACTGCATCCTAGAGTAAGTGACAGTGCAAAACACCTCGTGAGAGGCCTGAAATACATTCAGATCCCAAAATGAGGTAGCGCTCATTATTCCCATTTCCCTTCCTCCTCGCTAAAATTCCTCTTTAAGTGGGATTTTTTTTTTTTTTTTTTTAAACAGAGACAACAGTTTCAAAATTTACCTTATTAGGCCTTAGGGCTCACAGTTACATCTGCCATCTTTTCACTTTTATGATCTTTTATTCAAGATTATTGTTAGCTTCAGCTTCTAACGATGCCATTTTTGCAATTTGCAAGTCCCCAAAATAAGCTTACACCATGTCCAAGAGAAATTCAAAGGAAATTGCCAGTGTTTTTCCATCAATAGAAGTCTTCAGTGTAAAGCAATGCTTGAAATTTTATTCAAATACGTACATCATTTCTAATCATCATCACCCTGAGGATTATCGTCCCTCAGTTGCAGAGGCACTTACTAAAGAGAAGCAAGTATCTCATCAGAAAAAGCACATTTCTGGACCTGATTTTCACTGCAACAGGAATGTAATACAAGGGCTGCACTAACCGCCTGGGTCGATAGCTGTCTGTCTTCCACTCCCCACCTCTTCCTAACTCCTTCACTTTTCTTTTAAAGTTGTCTAGACTTTAACTGCTTCAAATTTCTTCTAAAGCTGTCTAGAAGTTTATAAAGTCCTTGTGTAGAAATTCAAACTATACATAAATAAAACTATTTAATAAAGATCTTTTCTAAAGGAGCTATTAATTAACCTTTTAAATCAGCATGTTTCTGCTCAGTTTTGTTAACTCCAGAATACTCTCGCTAAAACCAACAGAATTCACCGATAAAAGGTTTGGTCAGGATAAGAGTCCAGGCCAGCTTCCCCAAAGATAAATACAGGAAAGTTCTTCAACCAATGTTGAGTAGTGCTGGGTTTTTTCCCCCCAGCAGGAAGTTTAAGTGCGAGATTTTTCTACTCTGTGTCATCAGCAAGTGACACTCCACACATCTCTTCTTCCTTGGGTGAAATTCAGCCCTTCACGTCTCAGTGCGACAGCCCACTTGGTCACGGTCACTCTGGCAAGGCGTCTGCTGCACAGCGGAATCCCAGATTTGAAGCAGAGCTGTCAGGAGTGTTTTGACTACGGGCCACGCAGCGATACCTGTAGCAGTAAGACTGGAGAGTAAGAGGGGGGAAAGAAATAAGAACTTATAG